AACACAAAACATGTGGCTTAAATTGTTCGAGTTGTTTCAATGGGGTAAAAGGCAATCTATGGAACTTTTATTAAACAAAGCCTGGACGACCTGAAGTATGCGCATCAAGATGGCGCACAATCTGAACTCAGGTTGTGCACAAGGTTAGGGTTCAGGTTGTGCGACATCTTGGTGCACATACTTCACGAGTACCCAAAGCCTTATACAATTTTGATTGTTTATGCCTAAACGGCTATGATGGCTACTTCAGGTTGGATTGTCGGCTAGGTATCTCAGATATAATCACTTTGTGCAATCAGTTTCACTTGTTATGTATTCTCAGTTTTATTGTATAAATTCATTGTCCGTAATTTTGAGTCACGAAGTAGACCCCGCTGGAAGGCAGATTACTCAACAAAACATACACCATGTTCCACTTAATTGCTTCAAGAATCATTAGATGGAGGCTTTATTTCAACATTGCTGTGAATCGAGGATTGGATTTAAAAACCCAACATTCACATGGTTTTGTGACATGTTTTGCGGTTGCCGTATGCCTGACGACGGTGAAAAATGCATAAATGCGTGGCATGCGGAACTTAGTTTCACAGAAAATGTCAAAGAGAACCTCCTGAAGTGAACCACGAAGAAGATTCGAAATGGACTTGCGACGACTGTGAATCCACAGGGATACATACATACAGGATACTTTACGAAACATTTTCATGAAGTCGTCAAAAAATGAGCCAGAGGAAACGGATAAATAAGTTTCGACTTCTCAATCGTTTTTATCAAATCTAGGGAGAAAAGGTTGGGAATAATAATACACGAAATGGTTCACGCAGCTGGGGTTTTGATGCATGAAGGTGGAAGTGTATGGTGGCCCATCGTTGTCACGTGTAAAATTTAAAAAAAAAAATGAAAAAATAAAATGAAAAAGCGAAAATAAAAAAATAGTTGTGAAAAAACATAAAAATAATTGAAAAAAAAGAAATAAAAAAAAATTTAAATTAAAAATAAAAAAATGGAAAATAAAACAAAAAAAAAATTAAAAAAAAAATTAAAAAAAAAAAAAAAATTTGAAAAAAAAAAATTGGATAAAAAGAAAATAAAAAGGTTGACAACGATGGTCCGCCTCGTGGCCCATCGTTGTCACGCGTTTTTATTTTTGGAAAATTTGCTTCTGCTTGGGACCAACGTTGTCAGACTTAATCCTACACGCACAAATGTGTTTCCTGGGTTTCTAACTCACTACTGATTTTCATGAGCAATATCCAATAAATTCAACATGAAAATGTTCTACAAATTCTCCATGCTACAAGTTCAACCACAAGCAATATATTTATAATAAGGATAAGAGAATATAGAATTGGATACGAAAATTTGTTTTTACGTGTAGAAGGTAATTTAATTGGAAAATGCTGCTTAACTGCTCAGACACTCGTGCGATGCCGGTACGGTATCGTCTGACCGTACCGGTACCCATGCAATCACTCGTGAAAGAATGGGAGATGATGAGTGATTGTATGGCTACCGGTACGGTCAGACGCAAAGCGACTATAACCGACTACCGGTATTTGGTAAGACGGTACGGTACCGGCATCGCGAGTGTCCAGACAACTGAGTAGTTAAGCAGCATTCTCCAATTAAATTACCTTATACACGTAAAAACAAATTTTCCGAATTTTCGTATTCAATTCTATATTCTCTTATCATTATTATAAATATATTACTTCTTGTTGAACTTGTAGCATGGAGAATTTATGGAACATTTTCATATTGAATATTGATCAAGAAAATCAGTAGTGAATTTGAAACCCAGGGAGCACATTTGTGCGCGTAGGATTATGCCTGACAACGTTGGTCCCAAGCAGAAGCAAATTTTCTAAAAATAAAAACGCGTGACAACGATGGGCCACGAGGCGGACCATCGTTGTCAACCTTTTTATTTTTTTTTTATTCAATTTTTAATTTTTTTTTTTTTTGTTTTTATTTAATTATTTTTATGTTTTTTTACAAAAAAATTTTTATTATCGGTTTTTTTATCTTATTTTTTATTTTCAATTTTACGCGTGACAACGATGGGCCACCATAGAAGTGAACATGGACCTAAATTTCAAAAAAGAACCAGCCGTATGGTCAAACAATTAAAATATCATCAGAAGAAACTCCTTCCAGAGCTGAGACATCTGAGGATAAACTTCAAAGATATAAGCAAAGAATTAAAATATGTTATGACTATAAGTGATTAGGAAAAAAATATTAATAAATAACAGTTCAAATCTCTTTCCTTTATGTTATGTGTGTGGTATAATTAAACATAATATCATTTCCCACTGCTGTTGTTTTTATTTCGCATAAACATCGAGGTTAAGAACGATATAATTGCATTCAATTCAGGATGAAGGAAAGTTGATATCACCATGTGAATTAATCGCACATATTTATGGGAACACTCATAACTTTTTTCTGAAATGCATAGCAGATGTATTAGTAATTTCTTATTCAAAGCCTTGTTGAATGGGATGTATGGAATACCCCATAAAATTGGGGCTAGATATCACCGGTCCGAGTCCCAGCAAATTCGATTGCAGATTCCATAAATAATGCTAAATCCTGACTGTGCGTAATGCGCTGCTGCTAATACGGCCTCACTGTGCCTAATGCGCTGCTCTTAATGCGACCACGTATTGTGTCCAATGCGCTGCTCCTAATACGTCCTCACTGTGCTCAATGCGCTGTTCTTAATGCGGCCTCACTGTGCCCAATGCGCTGCTCTCAATGCGACCACGTATTGTGTCCAATGCGCTGCTCCTAATGCGGCCTCACTGTGCCCAATGCGCTTCTCCTGATGCGGCCTCACTGTGCCCAATGCGCTGCTCCTAATGCGATGCTCGCAACGAGCAAATTACAGTAACGTATCATCAGCCGCGTTCCAGCAAATTCGAGTACCAATTCAAGCCGAATTACTGTTGCTACTTTTTAAAAGTCATGTCTAGCTTGTCATTATAGATTCCATAAACAATGATAAAATGGATGGATGAATTGTCAATCCTGACTGTGCGCAATGCGCTGCTCCTAATGCCACCACGCATTGTGCCCAATGCAGTATGTTCCCCAGCTTTTTTTTTTAGGGGGGGTGTTTCAAAATTTAGGGGGTGGTAAATAATTTGCTTTTAGAGATAAAACTAGGCTATTTGCATTCTTAAAAAAATGGTATGTATTTAAGAAACGATGTACATGAGGGCCCCCTAAGTTGATTGACGGCGAGCCAAAATCCACAGCAGAATGAAATTGTAGGGCCAGAAAAGGGGAGCGAGGAAAAGTGCGGGACGACACGGCTGGGGTTCAGGGCGCGCTTAAGCGCCCTGAGAAAATTCTGAGAAATAGTTACCAAAATAGGCTCTAAGCTTGATTTTAGATACACCTAGCATCGCAGTTTGTTATGTAATGAAATCAATAATTATAACATCTAGCTGATAGAATTCCCGGGGAACAGATAACAAGCACGGCTTTCAACCGTAAATATATACTACTACGTTTCAACAAGTAATTTGCAACTGATAGTGACTAATGAAGTTACTTGCTCATCTGGCATTGTATGAATGCCTACTTATGGCTAGTTTTGTTACACATTTCTAATTTTTTTGAACATGTTCGTTTGACTTTTGTATGAATTAAATTTTGAAATACGCTCGTCAACTGATCATAATGTTGTATTCCTTCAGAACTGAAATATTTTGTTGGTAAGAAGACAAATCGCTGAAGTTTGATTCTTTTCAATAAAGAAATAAAAACGCTGTCATTCATCTAAAAAACGTCCGCTTTCAGTGCCTAGTTTTCGTTTTGTGACATCTTTAAGCTTCCTTATACGGCTGATATCTAAAATACTGCAGTGTAATCCTAATACCCATACGTATACATAAGATACCGGAATAATTCAATTGTTACGAAATAAACGTGCTTAAACTGTGATAATGATGTAACAATAGACGATATCTAAAACTCAAAAGGTACCACATGAAGGGTTAAACTATTTCTCTCAAGTTCGGCGGGCCATTTTAAATCGTTACGCGGGCCGTAATTGGCCCGCAGACTGCGGTTTAGAACCCCTCAGTGTGGAATCGCATCTCAAAATTAGGGGGGGTGTTTGAAATTTTAGGGGGGGTGTAGGGAAATCACTGGCCCAATGCGATCTCGCATTGTGCCCAATGCGCTGCTCCTAATGCGATCTCGCATTGTGCCCAATGCGGCTTCACTGTGCCCAATGCGCTGCTCCTAATACGATCTCGCATTGTGCCCAATGCGCTGCGCCTAATGCGGCTTCACTGTGCCCAATGCGCTGCGCCTAATGCGGCTTCACTGTGCCCAATGCGCTGCTCCTAATGCGGCCTCACTGTGCGTAATGCGCTGCTCCTAATGCGCTGCGCGCAATGAGACTTTTAGGCTACCACCACTAATGAAATGAGCGGCATAAAACGCGTTTACACAGACTGACAAAGTGTCAAACATTGCTATATTTTTTTTTTCTTAGGCACAAGTTAACCACAGGAATATATTACGATTATTGAGAATATAGGCTATGGCAATGGGCAGCATTCAAGTAAAAATGATCTCCATGCTAAAAAACTGTCAGATATCAATCACATTATGTGTGCTTCGGAGATATCATATATATCTGTTTATCATCAAATCTTGTTTTCTGGTTTAAAGATGGTTAAAATGGTATTCACCAGCAGTGTTCCCTCTAAGGTGTGCGCGCGCACACAGCTGCGCACACGCATAGATTTACTGCGCACAGACGTATTTCGATGTAATGTAACAATGTACTCGGTTGGCAGGTTGAGAAAGTTTGTTGTTGGCCCACTTTTTACCCGGTTAGAACGCAAAAATTTCTTCATTGATTTTTGCGCAAATATTAGTCATTTCCAAAAAAGTGTGCACACACCAAAATTTCTGCGCACACATACTACAAAAAAATAGAGGGAACATTGTTCACCAGTTATAGATGACAAACTTTGTATAGGACAACCAGACACAAATACGGGGTGTCCAAAAAGTTTTGCCCGATTATAAAGTCTCTATAATCAAATGTTATTTTTTTTTTTATATAAAAAAGATTTATAGTCAATCTGTTTCTAATTGGATGTTATAAGTGTTAAATGTTGTAGTCCCCATTTATCATACACCGAATTTATTCAAATTTGCAATTGGTAATGCTATGAAATTGGGTGAAGCTTTTTGGACACTCTGTATATTATGCATCGAATATCTTGAAAAATGAATAATCACAATCATTATTTACTGGTATAAACCCTCAATTATTTTGACTCTTTCTTTTCGCTAGTGTGAATGCTGTTGTTATTGTTATTTTCATTAGAGTTTCCACTTTCCTTCAGATCAATTCTATTCTTTTTCATCTTGACCATGTATATAAAATATGCAAGTGCTTCTTTCTCAACTACTGGAAAACTGGAGAAATGTCTTTGAACTGTTTCAGCCAACTGTGCCTTGTTCATACCTGGCCGTGTCTGAAGTTTGAAATGACGTTTGTATCTCCTGCAAATAATGAAGTAATTTCTGATCATCTAAATATGAAAAAAAACTATATTCTTGTCATAATATGAAACTATGCTGAGGAGCTGTCACACGTCTTGTACATTGAAAATTATAGAATAAAGACCATGAAAAGTTAATGTAGAATAACATCTGCAAACTTTCAACACATCATCATCTCTGTGAACCAGTGGCCAAGGAGATTTCAAAATAATGTTTTAGTTTAGTTCAGTGTTGAAAATAAGACCTATAAATTCAGCAAATATTATCACAATACCTGGTGCCATCCCAACTTTATCTATTCTCTTTACCAGACCAGAGGAAAAATAATGCGAAATATGATAAAAAATATATACTTATGCTAATATATCTACCTTAATGTATTCATTTGTAAATTTATCAATCCCACTTGCGGAGTATCAGGGACAGTATCACCACTTTCTCGTCTTTTTCGTTTCTTACCACTGCCATGATGGTGATCTAGAGTCATTCTCAGTTAACTTAGAATCTGGACAATATACAACAGCCTGGAGAGAAAGTATGAGTTTCAATTTAGCAATCCACTCGATTCACCAAGGTTCAAGTAAAATATAAACATTGTATTCATTGTAACATTCATCATTGTATAAGCGTGATGAAACATTCGAATATGACCCATCACAGAAAGTAAATTTCAACCATGACTTTTTTTTGGGATTTTTGGTTTTTCTTATGGATACAGTTTTGATGGATTTAGGGTTTAAGTAGATTCCGCATGATCAATTAAAATCTGGTACAATAATTTGTGAATATACCGTTAATACTGATTACTGAAAAGCGCTATAAAACCATGGCAAGAGCTGCCGCGGTTCGTTCGTGGCAGGAGCTGCCATGAAGTGGTAAGAACTGCGCCTCCCAGACTGGGCAATCAAAGACACAAGGTCTTTTTACAATATACTCAAGAACACATATTGGGTCTGGTATAGTTTAGTACCACATGTACTTCTAGTTGGCCTGCCTCAACAACTTTTGCATATGTCAATCCTAACCCCCACCCAACTACGTCACCGAAAAATTATGTCATTCCGACGTCACAGTGGCGTAATAAGGCCCACCAAAGTATGCGGATGGTTGTCCAAAACGCGCAGACGATCATCCGAAATCGAGCAAGCTATTTCTCTCGTTTTCGCGTCACAAAGATCACGATAGGAGAGAGATCGCCGGCTTTAGCGAGTTCGTTATCGGCGGTGCAGATGCCATTTCGGGCGATCGTAATTATACTTTGGCAAGCCATATGACGTGATGGTGACGTAATTTTTGGATGGCATAGTCAGGTGGGGATTAGGAATAACATATACAAAATTCGTTATGCTACGCCCACTGCAAGTACTTGTGGTACTAAACTATACTAGACCCCACGTATTATGGTATTAAGCTGAGTAATGCTGGGGTCTATTGAGGCCGAATTGCCCACCAAAGTTACCCCAGCCCACACTCGCTCAGCCCACACTCAGCATGACGTCAAGGGGTTACCCAACTATTTTACCACTTTATAAAGTAAATACATAAAAACTTGGTGGCTATGACAATATAGAGACCATATGTGATATACACAGCGCAAATGCAATACCAAGCACGGCCCAGTTACCCCCAGTATGGCCTGTCAAAAACGAGTGTGGGCTAGCGTCTCACGAGTGTGGGCTAGCGTTACACGAGTGTGGGCTGGCAGCCCAACCAAAAATTGACACAAGAGTTATTGTGTTCCCAGAATGCCAAAATAAATTGTATTGGAGTTGAATGCATGAGAAAAGGGTTGGCTAGATCACTCCATTTACCAAGTGCAGTTTTAAGTATTCCATGGCGTCTGCAGCTGCCGCAAAACCATGGCGGTATTTCCATACCATGGCCGCTACGGCCAAGCCATAGCTACGGCCAAACCTATGGCGACTGACTTTTTAGCTGCCACAAACCAATATAGAGCTGCCGTTACCGCGGCAGCAAATTGAAAACCAATGGCAAGTAAAATTTTGCTGCCCTAACCGCGGCAGGTGGGCCGTAAGGACAGGGCTGTCCATTATGATGACAAATATTGGGTAAGTTGGAACGTTTTTCTTATGGATACAGTCTTGATGGATTTGGGGTTAGGGTTAGGGTTTAAGTAGATATAATTCCGCATGATCAATTAGAATTTGGTACATTAGTTTGTGAATATACCGTTAATACTGATTACTGAATACAGAATAGCGCTATAAAACCATGGCAAGAGCTGCCGCGGTTCGTTCGTGGCAGGAGCTGCCATGAAGTGGTAAGAACTGCGCCTCCCATTTACTTGTATTATCCAATCTAATGATGCTGATCTGAAGCGACATTAGATACTGATAACTGTTCCCAAAACAGCCATACATCAAAACGAACGAGCGTTTTACAGTCGATTACGAAGCCGACACAAAACGCATCGGCACCCGGCGACAAATACAAGTTTCAGAGTTTAGCGGTTAGTTACAAACGATTGGCAGTAAACAAAATCAGCAAAGAAGGTACTGTCTGGAGTCATTTAAAATTTCAAAAACCAGGCTTCAAATTTTCGAACACAACATTGTTTTCGACAGACTATTATTTGCTTGGAATATCAAAATAAGTGAATGAGAATAACACATTTTTCATTTTTTGATGTTACCTGCCACTATCATTTATTTGCTTTGGTTAGGATAAGATTTACATATTTATCCTGGGGGAGAGAAAAGTCGATAAGACGATTTAACCATATGGCGAACCCCGGCCTCTCGCCCGGTTCATTCACCATTCTCGTCACCATTCCATGTCGGGTAGGGGATGAGTTAGGTATTTGTTTTCGGAAACATGGACTTGATGGTGGAGGAAGCTGTAACCGACCAGCGATTACGTAAACCACCCTACGGCGGCGTGGTGTCCAGCAATCCCCTCGCAATGGGGGTACATATGCCCCCGGGCGCCAAGGTACAGAGGCGCTAAAATGGGGCTTGCAAAAATTTCACAACAAGGGTAAAAAAAGGTCACAAGCAAGATCGCACCGGCGGCAGACATCTAGTTTAGTACATGGCAAACTGCACACTTGGTCAGACCAATGACATTAAACAACATGATAGGCAACTCTGACGTCACTCCATAAGGCTACAGGCGAAAGATTGTATTTCATGATACGCTCCAATGCACATATTTCTCGTCGCCTTTCGCGACCGTTTTCCGCTCGCTTTTGCTACTCGGCGTTTTCTTTACGTGTAGTACCTTCCTATTTGCGCCTGTAACGAAAGAAAATAATCCTTATATCTAAGAAGTTTTGCTCACTTGGAAAGCTGGAATTGCAGACAAGCTGTGAAGAGTAATTCTGTACATCATAGACGTTTTTTTATCAGAGAAGATTACAAACGCGATAGCGTAAAGATTTGTGTGGAATATTTTGCAGATAATGACAAAGTTCAAAGTTAGTAATTTTAATGTTTGCGCTTAAACATTGAAATTTCATTTAAAGAGGGTGTCATACAAAACAGCAAAACTGTTTGTACTTCTTTTTACGGTGCTGTGGTACAATTCCATAACACAAAGTTTGCACCTATCGAACTTGCTTTAGTAGGTGAATTTATTAGACATATTACATATTCAGTTAATCGTAGGTAACATTTCTGGTACATAATGCCCCGTAGATAGGTTTGTGTCTAAATTTAGCTCATAGCTCACTAATTAATATTATCTTCGATGCAGGAGGTTGCAGGGCTAAAATCAACTTTCAGCCTTACCGATCAACTGACGATGCTCATTTAGTTTGGCTCGAGCAAGTCCTCTTGAAAGACTTGTGTGAATGGGAACTACCTATATGTTTTGCCTTCCTCCGATTTTAGAAGACAAATTTATTCTGAGGGATTTCGCATATAATTCTCATTGATTGTTGGCTGTTTATAATTTCTATTAATTGTGAATTCTGATTATAACAAAACGTTAAAAAAATTTTTACGTAATTTACTAGCACCTTTTTCTTGTCAATACTCCAAGTTGAGGTAATAAACAAGACAATACATTCATGTCATCTGGAAGCAAAATATTCACACTAATTAAAAGTTTGACACATTGAGATAATATACCATGACAGGGAAATACAAGTTAAAGATATATATGACCATCACATGGTAATTAAAATTAAAAAAAAATTAATAGGGGCTGTGGAGTATGAAAAGTTCAAGACAAAGAAAAGAACAAAAGTTCAGAGCTCATGAACTCTCAATTTTGCCCCTATTGCTTCGTAAAGGCCAATATATTCCGAGTGGCTGAATTGGTTTACCTTTATGATAGCAACGATTTTGTATTCAATATAGCGAGTTTTTTTTCAATTTATTTGAAGTGATATTATTTCCCAAAGCAATGCTTGAATCGTCTAGATCAGTGATGTCAAACTCATGGGTTTTCGAGAGCCGCATTGCATTTTGAAAATTGTAAAATGGGCCGCAAACAGTTTTTGATAATGTATAGTTGAAAGATAGTTTCAGTTTGTGACATATATTGTGATGCAACTAAACAGTTGGATTAAGTTTTATTATTTTCTTTAATTTCAAATGCAATTACATATTAATATTTGCATTCCACTATTATTGCAAGTTACTGTATTTTTTACAAAAAATCATAAAATTCTATGTACAACCATCAAAATTATTTTTAAACAAGCTTTGGATAAGGAAAGAATATTACATACACTTAATCTAAATATATGGACCTAAAATTGACAAAAATACTACAGTATAAACCCATTGTTTTTTTAATTACATTTGTCCTGACGTTTGGCATCTTTTATGTGTCACCAGCATACTAAGGTCAGGCTGAAATGATTTTATAGTACCCACTCTAACTCACGAGGTCACATGATCATGGGTTAATCTGGATCTTTGCGAATGTTTAAATAATTCCAGTAATGCAAAAAAAGTTACTTTTATCATTTCATGTATAGATCAGTAAAAAAACAAATGACAGATTTTTTCGACAAGACATTTCGCGCCACATTGCGTGGCATAGGATTGCTTGAATTATTATTGATATTGATTTTTAGTAACTAAGTCGTTGTATAATTATATTAATATACAAACACATGGAAATTTTCTGTTCGAAGTTGCTCTTCGAATTTGTCATATTGACTGCTGAGCTTATTGTGTTTTTTCATTGTACTGATGGAAATATGACAAATTAAACAGAATTCTTCTTTGCTTCAGAATTTTGTGAAATGCAGAAATATTGCAACTCCCATTTTCTTCGAAAATGCCACCTTCTTCATGTACTTGCGTTTAATTTATTCACTCAAGTGTTTTATTCAAGTATTCTTTTGCTAGCTTGATGTGTATTCTTAATTGGGTCAAAATGTGAACAAAAAAAATTAATTTTCCAAAACTACTTTCAGTAAATTGTTTTCTGTGTGAATGATCAATTTTACTTTAAAAGGTTTGTATCTTATCGTGAATCATGATTATACCCTTTCCTGAATTTCCTCTATAGTACTACCAAAAGTTGACGAACCAAATATACCACAGGTGTAGTGAGTGACCCGTAATCCTCATTTTCCAAGGCTGTTTTAAGTATGTCTGGCGTGTTTTGTGCCATTTTACAAATAAGACCGCTTATGGAATCTTACGCTTTGGAATTTTTAGTTATTTTCCTCAAGCCCTGCAGGATATGGGGGCCATACACAACTCTGCCGGAGGGTCAAATGTCTTTGCATGACTCCATAGGTTGTGCTTCTATTGCAAACATTTATGGAGTACTCTAATTATATTTCTTGGAATCACACTGTCAATGATAGGTCTCCAGACTTTTGATATCTCCCCTCTGCTACAGTTGTCCTGTGAATAAATAATATGAAATTGAGGTTAGACGAATAGTTGAAAGTTTTGCTTTATGTCGGCTTAATTTCTTGATTGATATACTTACTATTTTTGCTATTGCTTCTTGTGCTGCAGGAGTCTCACAATGCTTAGACAGGTTTGTCCACAACTTTCACATCTGGAGAAAGAGAGGAGATTTATTAATTTTCGTTAAGAATAAATAAAGCAGTCTATATGATTTAGAATGGAAAAGCTAACGAATCCAATCTCTCATTTTTTATGTAAAAAATGTTTTACTGAATTTGGTATATAAACCAACTAATAAAAGGGTTTAGTCAGAAAATTACAAGCATTCGTGGCTCCAAATACTTGAGAGATCAGACTATACAATATCGTCCGGTATGAGTGAATGTTAGGTGAACTTGTTAACCCTTTGATTCAATACGCAAATAGAAGTGAATGAGCAATAGTATGTTACAGCAATGAGTATATATCCTCACTGATTAAAAAAAAATCTAAATGGAGGTGCATGAACAATTTGAAACCATAAGGGGTAAGTAAATATGCAATTTCGGCAAATGGGCAACTACGTACCGTACTGAATTAATAACTTCGCAGTATTTGACAAAAGCTGGCTTTCCCACATGTACTTAACAGTGCGATGCCCGGGTGTGATATACAACAATAGTATTTACCTTACCCTTTTCCAATTTCTTTTTACCTCAACTTTCCAAAATATCATTAAAATCGACAACAACTGTCAAAGCAGGCACGAACACCATTTGTGCTATGCCTTGAAAGCAGCACACATCGGCTCGTTTTCGTCTCGTCAAGTATGTGCATTGGAGCGTGCTATCAGATACGATCTTCGGCCAAAAATGCCGGAGTTGCGCATCATGTTGTTTAATGTCATTGGTCAGACCACTTACGTAGCTCGCGCACGGTCAGATTTCCATCGCAATTACATGGTCAAAAAATCTGGCCGGGAAACAAAGCAAAATTTGATTTGGTAACGTTAGGTAACAAAATGCACCGGGTTCATTACGTGGTTATGTATCGTTAAGTTCTTGCCTGCGCACTCCGATGTAAGTTGATATTAGTTCTGTGCTGGAGACAAATGACAACGGAATTTGGTTGAATGATGTTAATACATGTTTTGAGTAATACGTGGTTTTGTATTTCGTGGTTGTCAAAGTGCGGCAGAGTTACATAAAATATATTATACTGTGCTAAAAGACCCCAATGACGTTTTCGACAATTCGTCGAGATTGCACAGATTTCGCAAATTTTTACGACACGGACATCAATGGCCACGAACTTTTCACCGAAATTGGAGATTGCAGAATGCTGCTCAGTAACAGAAATGAAGGTCAACCAGAAACTCTTTTGACTCTTCTTGGTTTTATTGTGTCTTTTGGAGACGACGTTTTACCCAATCTGCGAACTTCTCTACAAATTTTGTTAACAATACCAGTTTTAATTGCAAGCTGTGAACGGTCTTTCAGCAAATTGAAACTTATTTCGTCGTATTCTCGTGCATCAATGGGACAGGATCGTCTCAGTCATCTTGCACTTCTAAGTGTTGAAAGAGAAACATTGAAAAAAAAAAAAGATTTTGATGACGTGTTAACAAGTTTGCGACAGTGAAATCAAATAAATTTATTGTAGACTATGTAAATCATCTTTGACAGTAACTCAGTAGAACATTATGGACATATGCTGTATTTTGTATAGCTTTGCTTTTTTTTTTAAATATAATGTTCCATTGAAATTTGAATACACATATACATATATTTTTGATTAATTAATAAAATATATAAATACATATAAATTTACATATATAATTTGTTTTTACATATACAATTAAATGTAATGGACCTTTCCCCAACCTTTGACCCCTGAAATATTCTTCCTATACTTTAACATGGCAAAATTTCCGGGGCTATTTTAAGAGTGTTTTTGCGAGTTGGCGCCTGTAAAATGGGGTATGTGTTCCAAGCCATCATTATGATTCATCGCATACAACAATCTGTTTTTTAAAAATACTGGTAAAGAATTTTAGCCTAGTCTATCACAGCTATTTCTACACTCATTTTTATTACTGCAATTAAATTAAAACTCCTAGGAAGACAGAGTGCTCATTGAATTATCTGATTTACATTTATGTTTCTGAAACACAACTGAAAACTAACGGATAGAGTTCAAAAACGCGAGAACGAGGTAATGTTTACGACCACGCTTGAAAATCTGTCTGAGGGAGAAAAGTGTCTGAGCGGATGTGAAAAAGGAGCATTGTTACGTCACCATTTGCATCTTGCTGATTGGCCAATGTCACGAAGTAAACAAGGAAGTCGTGCTCGGGGAAAGGTCCATATAAAATATGATTAAACGTGGATGTCGGGTCGCCAATTTTATAATTTGCCCCGGGCGCAAAATATGCTGGCTACGCCTCTGCACTCAGCACGATGAGCCACACCGCGCGAGTCTTTGCTATTTTAACGATTTTTTTTTGGAGGGGGGGGTGAACGTTGAACGCATGAATTAAAAAAAGCAAATGAAAATCCCGATTCCGAAATTTTAAATCCAGTATCTTTATTTCAGCTGATGCCGTTTTGTCCTTGGATATTAATTTCTCTAGAATTTGGCGATATACTCAGCTCGGTAGTGCCCTCAAATGGTGAAGACACATTGACTGAGACACCTTCCGGCCTCGCCAGTGTAATTATTTTTATTATTATTTTATTTAGGCTCATTCATGAACAAATTTATAGAGCCCAAACTTATCAGAGCATTGTATCTATGAGACATGATTTCAGATTACGGTACCGGTACCAGTTGCATTAGGAAAATTACTATTGCGTTAAGATGGTTCTAGTTCTGTAGTTGCAGTAAATATGCCTACTGTACCGGTAATATATGCGGTACCGGTAACCAATGCAGCAATGATATACGGTACTGCGGTAAGAGCTACCGTATTGTATCTGTGGTATTCTATCGAGAAACTCCTAATTCTATGCTTTGATATATATTAATAGTCTATCAGTCAGAATCATGAGAGCAAAAACCTTGAGTACGGTTTAAAATGTGCAGAATTTAAATTAGATGATGTTCTAAAGGTAGGTACCGTATGTGTTCATTCATCTAAAAATATAAAATAAATTCACATTCATGTACACATACATACACATGCAAAACGAGAGAAGCTATATATATTTAAACGATAAAATCGAAAGCAGATGTTTTCACATTCAAGCATTATACAGTTACAGAGTTATAGATTGACTCTAATGTATCAAAATATTGCATTTCTCGAATATTATACCTATTTTGAAAGGTAAAAATCCAAACTTCCTGTAGTGTGAATGAGATATAGATTTTTGATGCGTTTCTTCGATAACAAAGCAGACTAATTAATATCATTTAAACTCTTATACGTAATACATTGCATACATTTTAACTTTCAAGACTGGGGAATTTAGTACTAGTATTGATGTTTAAAATAAAACAGAGCTGACAAAAAAGGAGTATCGAAGTAAATTTAATATAAATTGACTTCATACTCTCTTTATCACAGAACTATAATGATGCTAGAAAATCTATGATCTTTACATTGTTATTTATTACTGTATTAGCAAAAAATGCAAGCCGGGGATCGCAGACCGAAATCGTGGGTGGAGAACACTGAACTTGTGTTCCAACCCAGGCACCATGCAGGAAGACTGCTCAAAGATGATCGAAAGCAAATTGTTTCTCAGTTTTTTGAACCTGTATCTTCTGTTGGTTCGTTATCTGACAGTACCAATGCGATTTCTATGCCAACTATGTGGTATGACACTGTGGAAATCAGTGATTTTGAACGCCAGATTGTAGGCCAGCAAGATACTACTGCGGATGCACCTGAATTAATAAGAAACTTATCAGAGTTTCCTATTGATGATGTAGAAGTTAAGGAAGTACAAAGAGAATGCCGTACTGTAAACTCTGTCAAACTAGAAGAGGAAAATGTTGACTCTCATGTTATTAATTGTTTCAATTCATTTACTGACGATTGGTCTGTTTATACTCGTAAGTATGCACACCTTGGTTCAGGTACTCTAGCATATAATGAAGAAAAATCTTCTGTAAGCATCAAGGCATTACCAAAGCAATTATATGAAGGTGAATTTGTGGAAGAGACGAATGAAGTATCTCCTGGAGCAGATCCAGAAGGGGGAGCAAGAGGTAGTTGGTCAAGTAATCAAGATATGAAAAATTCTCAGTCCGATCCAATGTTAGAGTCTGTTTTGGAAGGCAATCCACAAGAAGAAGTAGATAGTTTAAATCGTGAAAGAAGAAACAAAGACCGGTTGCCTAGTCTTTTTGCTTTGTATCACCCACCTACACAATCAACCACATCAATTCAACAATCAGCAGTAGGTGGCCCAGGAGATGACAGTGATTTCCCTATTGAAAAACGACATGTACCCCCAGCACCAGAGGAGCATTTAGGATATCGTTTGCTTGTAAAATGCCTCAATCTTGAAATGGATGTGGAGATTGAGCCTATATTTGCTTGTGTTGCATTATATGACACCAAATACAAGAAAAAGATTTCGGAGAATTTTTACTTCGATCTAAATTCTGAAGCAATGAACAAATTGATCAAGAATGATGGCGTACCACCGTCCATCCCTACATTGGCTCGATCAGCAATATTTTCATTGACCAGCCCATCCAAGGATGTTTTTATTGTTATTCGTCTTGAAAAAGTTTTGCAACAGGGAGAGATTGTGAACTGTGCGGAGCCGTATATGAAAGATGCAACTGATAAAGTGCGTGAAAAGGCGAAGCAATCATCAAAATGGTTTTGCGAACGTTTGGGAAAATACAGAATGCCTTTTGCGTGGACTGCAATACATCTTATGAACATTGTGGGTAGTGCGACAAACTTGAAACCGATGCAAGAAACAACTTCGAGTGCATTTTCTGGCCAAAACGCAGAAGAAGGAAAATCTAGTGGATCTCTTGACTCTAATATGCAGAAAAGATCACTGAAACACACAGTTTCTGGACAGCAAGATTTGTCAGAAACGCAACAGCAAATGCTCACAACTTTCAAACCAGTTACTTTGACCGTTTCAAGTGTGTTTAAACAAGAAAGTGATAAACTGAAAGATGAAGATTTGTTCAAGTTCCTGGTTGATTTGAAAAGGCCTTCAAGTATGCTAAAAAAATTGAAGCTGATTCCAGCTTTACTTAAGTTAGATGTATCTCCTTGCCCACCAAATTTTCCATACTGTATCACCCCAGACTTGCACAGATTAAAACCATACCCTGATCAACGAGGTCGTCCCAGTAGAGAAATTAAGGAGTTTTCTCCAAAAGAGGTTTATGTTCCCAATCTGACATACTGCAATCTTATGTATGTATACCCACTAAATGTTAACTTCACTAATAGACAAGGTCATGTTCGAAATATTGCTGTGAAGGTTCAACTACTGTGTGGAGAAGAAGCTAACAGCGTATTGCCAGCAATTTTTGGAAAGTCCAACTGTGCAGACTTTACCACTGAAGCATATACTGCCATTACTTATCACATCAAAAATCCGGATTATTATGAAGAAATCAAAATTAAACTCCCTGCAAAAATAACAGAAAAACATCACCTTCTGTTTACTTTTTATCACATCAGTTGTCAGAAAAAGCAGGATCTTACACCCATTGAGACAATTGTTGGCCACACTTGGATGCCATTACTTCATAATGGTCACCTTCATGTTGGAGATTTGTCATTGCCAGTGTCAATGGACAAGTTACCTTCCAATTATACTCTTCTTTCACCAGAGTCTAACATCCCAGGAGTCAAATGGGTAGATGGACGAAAACCAGTGTTCAGTCTATCTGTGAAATGCATTTCTACAGTTCATACCATGGATCGCCATTTGGATAGTTTTTTCACTGTTTGCAATGTCATAGACAAAGGTGCAATCGGTAGAACAGAGGATGTTGAAAAGCGCTTGGCGAATTGCATGCGGGATGTTGCTAAGGATGCTAAACTTGAACCGCTCGTTCACTTCCTTCATGTTATCTTGAATAAGTTTGTTCAGTTACTGGTCAGGCCTCCCGTCATCAATGGCCACGTCATAAACCTTGGAACAACATGTTTCGAATCTTTAGCTTTGCTATCAGTCAGACTTCATCAATCACTGGAATTTGATGTGAATGAACATGGCCAAAGCAATTTGCTTCATTCTTATGCCAGTTATGTTTTCAATCCCAATACTTTGCTGTCTCAAACAGAATCTGAAGGTACTGAAACATTGGGAGCATTAGGTGGCAGTCATTATGCCACTATGACTCGTCCAGTACAGAGAACACGCCCTGCAATGAGTCCTGCAACATTTCATTTAAGCAGCAGTAATCCAGATCTCACAACTCCACCGGCAACACCAGATGAGCCACCTCCAGATGATCCTGCTCGATTTTTAAGATTCTCCAGCTCTCGTGCATCTCTTATGGAACAACCATCAACTACTAAAAATCTTGAAAGCACGGGTGTGCGCTCTATAACTCGCAAAGTATTTCATGAAGAACTGGCATTGCTTTGGGTTGTATCCACAGCACATATCAGAGAAAAATCTTTCAAGCATCCTTGGTTTTTTTTTGATTTGATGACAAAATCAATGGTCCAAAATTTGAAGCTTACAGATGGATTTGAAATGACTCGTTCTATGAGATTTCCAGCAAGATATGTGGATGATTTAACCAGACTTATTCACATGGTCACAACGGAGATAATCAATAGCTATAGTAAGGATTATGATTTCGCAGAAAGGCTCAATTTGAGCCTTGCATTTTTTTTCAATGATTTGCTATCAATAATGGATAGAGGCTTTGTATTCAGCTTGCTTCAAACTTACGCTCAGCAAATGGGCATGAGAATCTACAGTTTGCAAAGTCCAGCTTCTCTGTTGAACCTTCGCCTTACTTTGATACGGGTTGTTGCAAGTCATGAGCATTATATTACAATGAATTTGCCTTTTGCAATGGCTCCCAGTCCATCTTCTCCCACTCCAAGTGTCGCTTCTACAACATCATCTATAATTTCAAGTGGAACAACCCATATCAGCTCACAATACGAGTTATCTGATGCATTTATTCAGCGACATTACCTTGCTGGAATCATTCTGTCCGATATTCAAACTACAATTGATATGATTGAAACAGCATCAGTCACTGGTTCACAACTTTATGCTGTGACTACTTTGAGAAATTTGATGATCAGTCATGATATGGATCCCAGGCTTAAGGAAAACCCAGTGGTAAAAGAGAAAATAGCAGCATTGTACATGCCTTTGATGTTGATTGCAATCAAGGCTTTGCCATATTTGTACCAGTTTAGCTCAGATGCATCAGGGGATTCCGGAGATCCTGGTATTATCAGTCAAAGTGTGGCAAATGCAATTGCAACTGCTTCACCAATGGTTCTTTCTAGGACTACGTCTCAACATGTACCTTTGAATTCTGGAATACTGAGTGCAGAATGCACAAGAAACTTACTTCTTTGTGTTTCTTGGCTTATTAAAAACATATCAAAACAGACCATCAGGCATCTGTTTTCAGGACTATCTACATTGCATACAAACAGTCTCCTGGATCTGTTATATTTATCAATATCTTGTTTTGAATATAAAGTACCCAGATCTTCTCGATTAACTCGCAGTGATTCGTCTCGTTCTTCAGTTTCTAGGAAAAAAGACAAGATGTCTCGACTTGAAGATGCTATTCTTGGGGGTGCAGCTTCAGCAAGACGTGAAATGTTGATGCGGCGTCGCAATGAAAAAGGTGGATCGACTTCAATGCCTAGAGATTTTGAACGAGGACTTAGATGGCACAAGGACCGCACTGAGTGGAAACAGGATAAAGGATTAGGCGATAAAAATAGTGAAGATAATGCTGTTGCGAATGCAAATTTTGCTGCTGAATCCACTTTAATCGTTCTTGATACTCTTGAAATGATATTAGAAACTGCATCGGAAATGGGAAGTGTGCCGGCCATACTTTCATCATGCCTGCGTACTCTATTGCACTGCGTTGGTACGAACCAGAGTACAAAAGTATATGATAACATATTTGCCACACAGAGATCAATTGTTGCAAAGTTTCCTGAACTTGTATTTGAAGAAGAGGTGGAACAATTACCAGACCTTTGTCTTTGCTTATTGCAGAGGTGTAGTAGCAGTGTTTCTTCTATTCGATCACAAGCTGCTGCCTCTCTATATCTTCTAATGCGCCATAATTTTTCGATTGGTAATTCATTTGCTCGTGTCAAGATGCAAATCACCACGTCACTCTCTTCATTGGTAGGAATGTCAGCCCTTGAAAATTTTGATGAAGAATACCTCCGACGATCTCTACAAACTGTTTTAACTTATGCAAAAACGGACAAGGACATGAAATCAACATCTTTCCCTGAGCAAGTTCAAGACATGATTTTCAATTTCCACATGATTTTATCAGATACAGTCAAGATGAAAGAACATAAAGAGGATCCTGAGATGTTAATAGATTTGATGTATAGAATTGCTAAGGGATATCAAAATAGTCCAGATTTACGGATGACATGGTTACAGAACATGGCGAAGCAGCATTCTGAGAGAAAAAATCATGCTGAATCTGGCATGTGTATTCTACACAGTGCTGCCCTTGTTGCTGAATACATTGGCATGATAGAAGAAACATCGTATTTGCCAATTGGCTGTGTCGATTTTCAACATATTTCAATTAATATTCTGGAAGAAAGTGCTGTTTCCGATGATGTTGTATCGCCCCATGAAGATGAAGTTTGCACTGAAAAATACTTTTCGACACTTGGTCTTGTTGGGCTGCTAGAGCAAGCAGCATATGCATTTGATCTAGCAGGATTGTATGAAGTTACAAACAAGCTTTACAAGCTGCTAATCCCTGTTTATGAAGAGTTCCACGAATATAAAAAGTTGTCAGATATACACACAAAATTGAGTAACTGTTTTACAAAAATCAGCAGCCAAGTTGGAAAACGAATGTTTGGGACATACTTTCGCGTAGGATTTTATGGTTCGTTATTTGGCGATCTTAATGGAGAACAGTTCATTTATAAAGAGCCGTCAATCACAAAGCTGCCAGAAATATCTTATAGATTGGAGACATTTTATGGCCAATGCTTTGGACCAAGCAATGTGGAAGTTTTGAAAGATTCAAATCAGGTGGAAACTTCTAAATTAGACCCAAGTAAAGCATATATACAAATCACATATGTTGATCCCTTCTTTCACAAATGGGAGGAGAACAGAAGAACGACATATTTCGAAAGGAATTTTAATATCAACACATTCGTTTATGCGACACCATACACTCTGGATGGCAAAGCACATGGGTCTATTAAAGATCAATATAAAAGGAAAGTATTTTTGCAAGTGTCTCAAACATTTCCATATGTGCGGACAAGACTGAGCGTTGTGAAAAAATGGGAGACTGTATTAACTCCACTAGAGACAGCATGTGAAGATGTACAAAGAAAAACCACACAATTACTACTCGCTGCTGAGCAACAGGAAACTGACGTCAGGATGTTGCAGGTAACGCAAATATGTGATTCGTTGATACTGAAGTGTTACCATAGGGAATTGTGGTTGTTAAATTTAATCATGCTGGTTTCATTCAAATCTAATTAATCAACAGAATTAATGCCATGATTACATTAATTACTATATTGTTGCAGATTCTTCCTGTGCTAAACTAAGGATGAGATATTTATCAAAATAAATTAGAGAAGAATATTAGACTTAGGTCATTACATTAATTAATTGAATTCCAAGTAATAATCAATCTATCTTATATTAAATATCTTGAACAAATGATAAAAAATATGTCTTGTCACTCGGTAACCTTTTTGATAAAAAATTATGACTTCAATTCGAGCTACTTGTTGTGGAATTGTTCATTTTTGAGCATGTAAAATGTTCAATTCTAAACTGTTCAATACTGCAAGTTTCCCTGATTCTCATGAGCTCTTTGTATTTTACAGGTAAATCTTCAAGGTTCATTGTTGACCACTGTGAATCAAGGACCGATGGAAGTAGCTCAAACATTCTTAACCAGCATACCAGAGGATTCCAAAATGTGGGTGCCCTATAACCGACTCAGGCTTGCATTTAGGAAGTTTCTTTATGCTTGTTCAGTCGCACTCAAGAAAAACAAGCAGTTGATTGGTCCTGATCAAAAAGAATATCAACGAGAACTCGAACGAAATTACAATCGCATGACAGACGAACTGAAGCCAATGATTAACAATCTTAGAGTTATGCAGCTCATTAGAGATGCTACTCCGGAGCAACTTGACTTGTAAAAAAAGAAGATAATTCATTAACTAGATGAATTGTTATAACAATGTGTCTCGATGTTAAAGCTGCTATCCAACTATCAGTCACATGTTTTACAGAATTTATGCCATGTTTTGCCAGATAACATATTACTCCAGATCTCTGTCACCCCTATATATCTTATTATGTTTAGAAATTATTACCATTTCAGTTTTTTTTTAAATAGAAATGCAAGGTTTTCTTTATATTCTGAAATGTTTATGGGATCGGCTTATCAATTTTGAAACAATGCGAGCTTTTCATAGTTTGGATTTCTGTATATTTGATGATGATTTAAATCTTGAAAACCAGTGTTGATAGGAATATTATGTTTCTTTGACATGTTAAATAATGTTTTATGCTACTTTCTATACCATGTTATTACTATTTGGAGCTTATATGTCATGTAATTAAATTCAAGCAATCATTTTTTTTATTGTTTTTTTCTTGATGGTTAGAAACTGTATTATTGTGTACACATTTAATTATCCAGCATAAATTTAAATAATTTCAAGCAGAAAAAGTTTTTGCACAATGTTAAACATTTTAGGAATTAAGTGTATTTTTTTATTCTGTTGACATGATGACATTTTCCTGCCACCATAGTCATACACATTCTTTTTTTATTCTCAAGTTTTTATTCTTTCCCAAGTTCCATTCATTTTCCTGCTTGTGTGATTTTTAATTCATTTCTCGACTGAAGGTGAGCATTGTATGCGTTTAAGTTCCCAGCTTTATTATTATTTTTTTTCTAAAAACAATCATGCTTTCATGTCAACATTTTGTTTTCTTCTTTGAACTGTCACCAAAGTCACCACACAGTTAGAACGTACACTAAATTTCAATGCCATGAGTTGTGCCACAATGGGTTAGCATTTGCCAAGCTTTGTCAATACTCACAGTTTAGCTAACCTCTATGTTAATGATAAGAGCAAACATATTAATTTAGAATTTACATTGAATCAATTGGTGGTATTATATTACAACTACAAGTATACTCTGTAGTTGCCATGTTGTCTTCATGACACTATTGTATACAAATGAGATGCCCATGATTTATATTTAATGATAATTTTTTTGTGTTATTGTATGTTTTAAATTTGATGTGTTATTTACTTATTTTTTCATATTCACGTAAACTGCTCTAGGCTGTGTCCTGCTGTTTGTCTGTCTGTCTGACAAAGCCTTTCATTGATATCATGTTATTCTGGATCTATTATAAATCAGAAAATTGTTAAACGGAATATATTGTGCAATGAAATAAAGAGAATTTTTTATTCGTTTAGCTTCTATCTATTAGAAAAATTAGGTATAGTGAGTGCCATGTTTAAAATATAGGACCAGTGAAATGAAAAATAGTGCAGATGACATGCCTGCCATCTGGTCAGCATGAACCAGATACCATAGATAGAAGATGTAAAAAAAACACCAGGCGGATAGAACAATTGTGGATCACCCAGCGGTGCCTTCCGCACCTTGCTAACAATTAAGATTGGAAGAGTTTTGCTTTTCGTCTTATCTTCGGGAGTTACGAAGGAGTGGAATGTATGTTATTGAAGCGCCACGACACTCGAGTTAAAAATGTCAAACGACGACGAGAAACGGATTGCGTTAAGTGATATTTTGACGGTGGTGTCCTCGTCAGTAGCCGTAGCGACTAGGTGTGAGCCTAAGTCTATCGGTTCGAATCCAGGTAGGTGTTAGTGTGATAGGGTTAGTGGCCGAAAGCAAACAGAATGGGCATGACACAGGAAGGAAGTCAGAGTTCAAGTAGTGTGGTGGACAGGGTCAGTGGCAGAACGCAGACATAGTGGCCGAAACACACGAAGGTAGTTGTAAACCATGTAGAGCAAGCCAGGGTCACCAAGTGTCCAAAACACAGGTAGGTAGTCACGAACAAGGTTCAGGGGCCCTAAGGCCCCCTTTGGTGCCCTAAGCGCTGAAGACTTTGGTGCCCCCTTATGTGTAATTTAATTATAAAAAACAATAAACCACATAATTTATTATCCATTAAAAATAATTACAACCAACAGTAAATAAAACGATTTTTACGAACATTTTAAGGTTTTTTAACTGTTATATATAGCCGATATAAATATCGGCCGTTTACACCCAATAACGGGCCGATATATCGGTTGAGCTTTAATCCTGATGTACTGTAAAAATAAAAATTGCTGCCTTCAGTCTCAACGTGGATCGAAATACCAAACGATATAAGTCACAACTGTAGTTTGAAATTTTACCGGTACCTAGTGAACTACCTCAGTGTGGTTCAAGGTTGCTAGGTTGAAGGTCTAGCGTCCTCAAATCGGAGAAAATCCAAAAGTGGAAGGTTCGGGTCAGCGGCAGAAAGCAGAGTGAGTACCCCAAAACACTATAAGGAAATCAAGAAGCCAGTAACTGAAGTTACTGAACTGAAGTTGGCAGGACGGGGTCAGTGGCACAAATCAGACAGAGCGCCGGCAACACACAAGAAGGAAGTCGGATACCACAGGTAATTATAACCTGTAAGGACGGCATCCAGTCGGGGTCAGTGGCAGAAATAAGACAGAGGGAAGTCACCAGGGTATAAAAATAAGTGAATTGAAGAAGTCAGAACATATAAATATTAAATTGTAGGTTTGCCTTGTGGCTGATTCTTCACCGATCCCCGGAATTAGTAAGAATGCAATTTTATTGCTAAAAAAAAGTCCGGACATGTTAACAACTTAAATTGTATTCAGGGTAGACGGGTTGCTCTGTTGCTGTGCCCGTCAGATTAAAATTCTTCACCGATCCCCGGGATTGGTAAGAATGCAATTTTATAAATAAAAAGGCTCCGATTGCAAACAATTTCTCCGCCTGGAATACAATATATATTTCGCATTTATATGTCGAAGACCGATATTTTTCTCTACCAACGTATGTAAGCTATTTTTTCGTTTCACTTCTCACGTAGTTCAAAAGATCTCACTTTACGGAGCTAGCAAAATATTCATGATCGTGCTTTCAAATCTTATGGAAACTCTCATTGGATCTTTTGTACAAAGCCTCCACCACTAGTACACAAAATGTAAGATTTGATAGAAACAATCCTGCCATGTTTTAAATAAAAAATTGATAATTATCCAGTTGGTTCGGAATGAATAAATATTGTCATGTTCGGCACAATATGCATTCTTAACTGGATAATTACTAATTTTCTCATTTTAAGCGTTGGTTGAAGCTTTGTACAAAACATCCCTTTTATAGCCTGTCTGTTGTTTATGCTTAGTTTCTACAATAAATAAATGTGTGAACTTTTTCCATTTTTATCCCCAAATTTGAAATCCCAATCTTATATTTCCAAGTATCGATAAGAATTGATGTTTCCGTAATAATCGACTTCTTTATTTACATCGGTAAGGGCGTAGCCAGCTCAAAATTTGGCAACCCAATTTTTATTTATTTTTTGATATGACGTATTACGGATGCTTATTAGCCCGATTTCGCTGCGAACAAGGCAAGATATAAGCAGCCATTTGAATCTAATGTTAGGCTAAAATCCCCTTTATAGACTTACTTCACCGCCGAGTTCTCCAGGCTATATAATCGCGCCTTTTTCCAAATCGGATTATTAATTTGGAGTATTAATTGATAGTAAGCCCCAAAACGGTTAATTATCAGTAAATAGCTCTTGAATAGAGCAAAATAGTGTTGAAAACGACGCCCTTATCATTTTGTATCTTACTTTAAATGCCATGAAATCGTTCGTTCCAAAATTTCGGATCTTTTCTAAAGAAGGGGCAAAAAATAAACACCCTCGCTACCGCTCAAAATTAAAAAAAAAAGATTGAAAAGAAAGAAAAAATTCCAATTTTCAAATCATTCCTAACACTAACTAGATAAATACTAATTTTAAAACGATGCGGATCGTTTGCGTGTAATGCGAACGTGATGACTACTCCACTACAGAAACGCATACCCCGGTGGGTCATATTATATTGAACAATAATACTCTTGGGAGACTTAACAACAATCTTTCGCGTGTTAGGCGAACGTGATGACCTCTACATATGGGAAACGCATACATCCGTGGTTCGTCGAATAGGCTTGAAACCGACCCTGATGTCTTTCCGTAGTCATCGCGTTTGCAAACGGTCCCCATAAATTGGTTCGGGCCCAGGCAGAAACATGTTTTCCTGATAACATTTCGCTCTAGCCTAAAATCTTTGACGGATCTCGTTCATCGCCGTAAAAAATAGTGCATATTATGTCCTTTCTAAGGTATGAATTAACCCTTCGTGGTTGATTTTTACTTTCTCTCCCAATATCTTAGAATACTTTTGAGATGAAATAAATTTTTGCACAAATAAACGATAATAACCGAATGTATTTCTATCATAATTATCACACATTCAAGAAAAATGGGTGAAAATGCTAAAATGAATTAGTTGTTATCACATCTACAAATACAATGAGTAATTCAAATGTAACTTTAGTGGAAAGTATTGTCTGCGGTAAACTTAAAGATCAAAGTTGTTGTTTAATCACCGACTTCTTTTTTGATTGATTTACGTTGAACAGTATTCCCGTTGATGCTCGGGCCGTCAGTCTAATGTACACCGTTTAGAACTTGCGGACAGTAGCCTATTAGATTTCATAGTGACATTGCAGTATGGCAGTTTTAATTTTTTTTAAATCTGTGCTTAAAACTTAACGTTTATTGAAGTTTTAAATCAACTTTGTTATTTGAAAAGTATACAAAGTTCTTACAAATTTGTAAAAAATTGAAGAACACTGATCTAGACCGTTAGGGCTTGATATCAAACTTGAGTGTTTACTTTTTCTTGTCATTCATTTTGCCGTCGTATCCATTGTGCATGGCTGCATTCTGTATTATTGGACACGTTAGTGGACATAACGATCGTTTTGTTATTATGTTGTTGTTCTTGTTCTTTGTAACAGAAAAAATCGTCTTTCTCTTTGATTACTGGATCAATCGCTTTGAAATTGTCTGTGCTCAAAGACTAAATTTTTCGCTAAAAAGCAATTACGTTTATATATTTCAAATCCAGTGAGCTGTATGGGATTCGTTTCTTTGTGTGATATGACGTCATCACATTTTGCCACTATGTGGCCACATATTTGAACATAGATCTCTTGTTTATCTTCATTTGATTTTTCACAGCGTACTCGGTTAGTAACTTTTTCCCACTGTCTGATGAACACAATTTCTACGGCACCGTCACTCCCACCACTTCCAGGGCAAACCATATGGTTATTCTGTCTCATATTCTTTTGAACGATGTATAGCAGGGTTGCACAACTCAAATGAGGATACGTGCCAAATTTTTCAAAATATTCTTGTCGCGTGCCACGCACAATTGTGGTATTGTAAATTCCCTCCCGCAAAACAAACAAATTTCAATAATAACACATAATAACGGATATCTATTTATTGAAACAATCAATGTCCCGAAAACTGCTGATTTTGATATAAACGTGATATTTTAATGTATATCATAAATAATTTTTTTTTTTCAACACCGTTCGCGTGCCACATTTGAGCGTATGGCGTGCCAAATTTGGCACGCGTGCCCCGTGTCGTGCACCCCTGATGTATAGGACTGAAACGAAAGCAGAAACGAAACATTTTGTAAATTTGCAAATAGCTGTGAAGATTATAGCTCATATTCGGTAAACAAAGTTTTAGAATTCGAAGTTTTGTAAATATTTTCATATTCAGCAAACGAATAATTCGAATTTTACATTCGTGATAAATTTTGTATTCAACAAACAAACATTTCAAAATCTAAGTTTTGTAATGAAGTTTTTATTTCGTGTTGCAGTCCTACGAATAACAATTCTTATTTCTACGCCATGATTATTTAAGGTATCAGTATAGTTCTCTCAACTTAATTTGTCTCCTGTACCTTTGCTCAGAGATTATTGTTCTATATTTTTGAGTAATGCGCGTAACCTTGCTTTCAGTAAATTTGCCTCTACAAACACACACTCTTTGCTCTGACTGCATATGGAAGAAATGCGCAAACTTCATGTGCGGTGAGCACCTTAATAATTTTATGAGCTTTCACGATTAACAGACGTAACATAGACTCCTCGCTACATTTATCTCGGAAACTGAATGCCAAGTCCCGTATTATCCCCAAGTTCACCAACTGAATAAAAAAAATATGTCTACGTGCTGGTTTATATTCTTCGAATAGAGTTGTAAATTGATGATGTTTTAGCCTTTCTTGATATAATTCGTACACTTTACCACAATTTTCAAATTACTTGAATTTCGAATACAATATATTGGAA